GGATGAGGATGAGGACGAGGACGAGGAGGACTAGGCCTTGCGCCCGATCCTCTCCGCTCGGAGGGTCAGCAGCCCGACCGATGGAGTGAGGAGTCGACCTCGTCGTTGGGGAAACCAAAACATGGACCCATACCGCTACTCCCCCGACCTCTCCTGGGGTGCGCTCTGACCAAAATTTCGAGGCAAACCCAGCGGTGGCGACGAGGGCCTCCCAGGAAGCCCAACAAGGAGAAACGAACCAGAGGTAGCGGTATGGGTCGTACCCGCCGGTCGGAAGAAGTGGCTAGAAACATGCAGTAGGAAGGCGTTGGAAGTAGATTGGGCCTCCGCCCGCCCCCTGACGAGGAAGGAGACAGCAGAGGCACCCGACGACTGAAGTGGGGGCGCGCTCAAAGTATATATATATATATAGATCTATACATATATATATATACATATATATATATATATATATATATACATATATTGGCACCTGGAGGTCCAGGCGTGCCCACTGCTCAACGGCCGGATCGTGGCCCTGCCTCCGCCTCCTCGAGTGCCAAGGGGGGGGGGCACGCGGCTCCCCGCTGCATGGCCCTCGAGCCCGCGGGCCCCTCGAGGGCGGGGCCCCTCCCGGGAGCGCCCCCCCCCCCCCCTCGGGAGGTGCCGGGGAGGAGGAAGGAGCGGCCTGCGAAGCGTGCGGGGCGGGCCAGTAAAGCAGGGCCAGGGTCGGGATACATCGCGGCGCCCAATACATGCTCCAAACCCGCCGATTCTCAGAGATTTCGAGTTATCCCGCTCCGATTTTGTCCCGATCTTCGCGTCGTGTGAGCCAGGGCCGGGCCAGAACCCAGGGCCGGGCCAGAACTTGGGCGCCCGAGTTATCCGGGGTAAGTCGGGTCCGGGGTAACGCGGGTTTGGATTCCCGAAAAGCGAACCGGAGTTAGCCCTGACCCGAGTCACCCCTGATGATTTGGGGCTCTGGGCGCCCGAATTATCCGGGGTAATTCGGGTCCGGGGTAACGCGGGTTTGAATTCCCGAAAAACGAACCCGAGTTAGCCCTGACCCGAGTTACCCCTGATGATTTGGGGCTCTGGGCGCCCGAATTATCCGGGGTAACTCGGGTCCGGGGTAACGCGGGTTTGGATTCCCGAAAAGCGAACCGGAGTTAGCCCTGACCCGAGTCACCCCTGATGATTTGGGGCTCTGGGCGCCCGAGTTATCCGGGGTAAGTCGGGTCCGGGGTAACGCGGGTTTGAATAGTTAGCCCTGACCCGAGTTACCCCTGATGATTTGGGGCTCTGGACGCCCGAATTATCCGGGGTAAGTCGGGTCCGGGGTAACGCGGGTTTGGATTCCCGAAAAACGAACCCGAGTTAGCCCTGACCCGAGATACCCCTGATGATTCGGGGCTCTGGACGCCCGAATTATCCGGGGTAAGTCGGGTCCGGGGTAACGCGGGTTTGGATTCCCGAAAAACGAACCCGAGTTAGCCCTGACCCGAGTTACCCCTGATGACTCGCGGCTCTGAAGAGCGGTGCTCTCCGGTCTCGCTCTGCCGTGGTCCCGCCTCTGCCGCAAGACGACCTCGAAACGAGCACGATCCACGGAGCAGGAGGAGGAGGAACCTTTTCGGTCGGGAGCTGCGCGCCAAAGAAGCCTCTCCCCCGCCCACCCCCCCTCCCCCATGTGAGCCCGAAGCCCTGGCCTCAAGGCAGGGGTTGGACATGCGCAGATGCGCAAACAAAAACCCGCGGCAACTCGCGGATCCAGGCACGGCAGACTCGTGCCGTATCGACCTGGGCGCTGGTCCCTGATACCGCGCGGATCGCTCAACATCGACCACGTCTGGGTCGCCAGCGGCGTTCAGCATCGAACGCAGGCGGCGGGGTCGCCACCGGCCGACACGACGCGAGCCCACCACAGCCGTAGGAACGGCGTTGGACCGCCCTGGGCTCGGCCTGCGAGCGGAGGTCGCAGGACAAGAGCCAATCGCACAGAAACGTGGACCGACAGTCTGTCGAACACACACACACACACTGTTGGCGATCGCGACCTCGCGCGCAGCGACGAGGCGGAGAAAGTCCCCCAGCAACTAAAGCGCGCGCGCGGCTGGCCCTTCACCAGAAGGGGCAGGGATCCGACAGAGGATCACACACACACACACACACGCACGCAAGCACGCACACAAACACACGCACACACGCACACACACACACAGACGCGCACACACACACACACACACACACACACACACACACACACACACACACACACACACACACACACACACACACACACACACACACACACACACACACACACACACACACACACACACACACACACACGCACGCACGCACGCACGCACGCACACGCACACACACACACACACACACACACACACACACACACACACACACACACACACACACACACACACACACACACACACACACACACACACACACGCTTTTTAGCGTCGCGGCCCTGCGCGTTGCGACAAGGCGGAGGAAGTCGTAGAGTAGCACTTGCGCGCGCGCACAAAGAGTGTCCGAGCTTTCAGAGGCCGCTTCACGCCCCGCAGCGGCTGGCCGCCGAGAATCACCCGGGCGTGGACGACGGGGGGAGGAGGGAGGAGGAGGAGGAGGGAGGAGGGAGGAGGGGGAAGGGGAGGAGGAGGGAGGAGAGGAGGAGGGAGGAGGAGGAGGAGGAGGAGGAGGAGGAGGAGGAGGGAGGAGGAGGAGGAGGAGAGGAGGAGGAGGAGGAGGAGGAGGAGGAGGAGGAGGAGGAGGGGAGGAGGAGGAGGAGGAGGAGGAGGAGGAGGAGGAGGAGGAGGAGGAGGCTGCGGTGTGGCGGAGGTGCCATCAGCCGCCCAGGACCGGATGGCGGGGGGAGCGAGACGGCGGCGCGGAGCGGCAGGGAGGCCAAGACCGGCCCAGAGCCTACAGTCGGGCGCTGGCAGAACCTGGCTTAGAGATTTGTACCGGGGGCGCCCCCCCGTCCCATGTTTAACCGGAGCTGCCGCCACCCGAAAAAACACCAGTTGCGGCAAACCTGGTTTCTAGTGAACCTGGCCACTTGAGGGGCCCCAAGGCCCTACCACTAACCCGGCCCCCTTATCCAGGGTCCTGGCTGTACCCGACAAAAGCCAAAGGGGGCCACGTGCCCAGGGGTGCGCGGGTGCCGAGGCCGGCACGCGCCGGCAGATCGGCACAGAGAGTGAAGGAGCAAGGGAGCCGCAGAGGCCTGGCATCACACACGCGCACACACACACACACGCGCGCGCACACACACACGCGCGCGCACGCACACGCGCACGCACGCACACATGGTCCAGAAGGAGACGACGCTGAGGAAGGGCACCAGCCAGCAGTGGCCGCAGTGGCCGAGAAATGCTCCCGCTTGGGGGGGGGCGCATTGGCGCGGCACCCTGGGGAGACCCACGCCTGGAGCCGTTCAACAACAGGTGCCCCGCCTGGCACGCCGCCACCCCCCCATTTAGAGGCGCCCAGGGGGTGAAACTGGATGAGTGGGTGGACCTCGGCAAAAACCTTACAATGAGGGCGGATGTGTTTATTTGGACCGTCTGCCGAAGCGAAGTCTAGAGAACATACGCTGTACACCATGACGACAAACTGAAAGACAATGAGGGCGGATAAAGGCAAATCCGCTCAAAACCGGCCCCCAGACCCCTCAAGGGGTCCTTCCTGTGCAATTGTTCAACACCCCAGCCCAATGGGCCTCTCGCGCGCGCATGTCGAAATTATTCGAACGCCCTTGCGCACTCTCTGGGGGGGGGGCACGATGCCTGCCAAATAAAACCATGCGGGCGACTCGCCCGCGTCGGCCGCGCGCGAATGACGAAATCCGTCCGAAACCTTCAGCGCCTACGCGGGGACACCCATCGTCGTCATCGGCATGATCAACATCTTCGCCGTAATTGACCTTGCCGTCGTCATCGTCACTGTCATCGATGCTAACATCATCAGGCCTACGGTTGTCGATGCCGCCATAATACCGCGCCCGCCCAAGTCACCGACTCGCACTGAACTGCCCGCGCGTCGGCGCGGCCTGCGAGACGCGCTGGCAAGTGCCCAGCGGTCAGCGACACCGCGGTCGCGTCAGCGGCGCCAAACTAGCAAGCCGCCGTGCGCGCGAGAATGCGCGGGCTAGCGCGCTCACAGAGGTGCACCAGCCAGCACCAAACACTATCACAATCGCCGCCGCGTGAGTTTTGCAAACCTAGTTGCGGGTGGATGGGTGGGATGATTGCGCGAGCAATGGAGTTGTTCAAACTTCACTGCAACACATAGATTGCTCTCTTTCTCTCTCTCTCTCTCTCTCTCTATATATATATATGAAAGTGTGTATATATATATATATACACATATAGGTTGCACAACGTATACACACTGCTGGAACACACACACACACACACACACACACACGCGCACACACACACACACGCGCGCACACACACACACACACACACGCACACACACGCACACGCACGTACACAGTGTGGGACCAGCACTGTTTAACATGCAATTACTTCTCTCCTTGCGATCATATGTAGCATGTGCCTCCGCCTCCCCCTCTTGATCCTACCTCCCCCTCTCCCCCCCTGACGTCCAATCGGCCTCGGCACCAGCATGGCAGCGAAGGGCCCAGAGCAGAGCGACCAGCAACAGGCACAAGCACGAGCAGGGCCTTCTGACTCCCTGGCCTCCGACGCAACCACAGCGGTGCACACGTCTCAGGGGCATTGATTGGGGGACTGGCGCAGGGGGGAAACATAGACCTGGAATCGGCGGTGCATCGCCGATGTGTCGGCGATGGGCCCCCTTTATCGAATCCGCGCGTTCCTGGGCGGAGTGGGGCCAGCAAATCCCCATCGACGATCATGTGCGATTGGGGATCGACGCATTCCCCCCTGAGCCTATCCCCACCCCATCGTTGCCCCTGAACATCCCTGGCGCCCATCTGCGAGGACCACGGCTTCAGAGACCCCGTCGGCCGCATGATCTCGGCCGCGTTCTCCTGCCAGGAGGCAGCAACAGGCACCTCCCGTCTGGGGTCCAAACTACGCAGATCGGATCGGTTCGCGCCGCATCGTCGATGCAGCGCCGATGCATCAGTGATGCACCAGCGAGGTCGGCGACACATCGGCGACGTCGGCGCGGAGAAGATCGGGCCCCACATCGAGATGCATCGCCGAGACATTGGCAATGCCGGGCGCGATCCTCCCACCCCATCTCTGCAGCCAGGAACTGTCGCTTACCGTTCCGCGGCGAAGGCCCCGGCGACACGTCAAGGCCCTGAGAGCGCATATGGCGTGTCGCTCCGCTTCGCGGGGCGGGACGCTGGGAACGGCTCGGGACGCCGACGCTTGGGAATGGGGACGCGGACAGCGTGTCGCGCCGACGCGCGGTGGGCCAGGACCGGCGGCGCGACACCGTATGCTGAAATTCCTGACCTGAGCTGCCCCAATGCACAACGCGCAACCCGTAGCGTGCGGACACGAAGCTCAGCAAGTCGAGTGAAAACGACGCAGGTCTGGCGCGACACGTTCGCCAAAACGTGGAACCAACACGCAGCGTGTTGAACCAAGGGCTCCCAACTTCGCGCTTCGCGCTGCGCGAAGCGCGAAGCGCGAATAACTTCGCGCTCTCGCGCCGCCCCCCAAGGGGGAGAAGAGGAGGACAAGGAGGAGGGGGAGGAGGAAGGAGGACGGCGAAGCGCGAAGCGCGAATAACTTCGCGCCCTCCTGGGAGCCCGTGTTGAACCTGGAGGCTTTGAACACAGCACGTGCTGTGGTTCAGCACGGGCGCATCAGGGCACCTACGGTCACAAACTTGTAGGTAGCGTGTCGCCGCGGCAGCCCCGGCGACATGCTACGCCTTGCGAGTGGTTAGCGTGTCGCTCCGCTCCGCCGGGCGGGTAGCTCGGAAAAGCTCGGCACGTGGACGCCTCGGGACCGCGGAGTGGATAGCGTGTCGCGCCGAAACGTGGTGGGCCAGAACCGGCGGAGCGACGCGCTATTCCAAAGGTCCCGACCGTAGTCCTGGTCGCATGATAACCGACCCCTAATCCACAAACCTGACTGTCCATGTGTGACGCGACTTGCAAACTATCTACCGGTATCGGTTCCTTAGGAGCCACGTCTACATCGCAGAGTGGAATGGGGGCCGGGAAGAAACGTGCCGCTCCTTTGCAAAAAGCCTTGCCCCCATCTGTGACCGCCGCGATCGCCATGGCGACCTTCAAAACCCGACCCCGAGGAGTTCGGAGCGGGGTCGGAAACCACGCAACGAGCCGCGCCCCCATGTGGGAAGCCTGGAACTGGTTCGGGGCAAAGGGTTTTTTCTCGTAGCGGCGCCGCCCAGGAAACACCATAGTTCATCCTCTGGCGCATGGCGCGCCGCGGCCACGTGCAGATAAGCACGGCGTGCGCATCCCGCACGAACGATCGCACGCAGTGCTGCGCACACGCTCTTGCCACCCCCGCCCGCGACCCCTCCGCCCGTCTTTTGGCAGGACAAAAGATCCTTACCCGGACGGGCGAGGAGGGCCTCCTCGAGCCGCACCGCCGAGGCATCACCGACACATCGACGACGCATCGGCGATGCATCGGCGGCGTCGGCGATGGGTCGGCGACGTCGGCGCGGAGGAAGTCGGGGTCCCCATCGAGCCGCATCGCCGGTGCATCGGCGGTGCGGAGCGATCCTCCGACCCCACCTGCCTCGGCCCCATCTGGGAGGCCTAGGGAATCCCCACAGACTCACCCCACGGCGTGGTCGCCGGTACCGTGCAGGGGGGCCCCGAGCCGCGGAAGTGTGGAGGTCCAGCCCCCGGGGCCAAAAGCTTCCGCCACGGGTCGCTCGCTCGTGGCCCCAGCAAAAGAGGACAAAAACCGTCGACGACGACGACGACGACGACGACGAACGGCGACGACGACGACAACGAGGAAAGTGTTTCTGGACGGCCAAGCGTCGAGGGGCAGGGGCCAGAGGCCAGCCTCGACCTCTCCCAGAAAGCCAGGGCGCCTTCCTTTGGAGCCCTCCCGCCGTCGGCTGCGGAGGCCTCCGCGGGAGGCCTCCGGGACCCTCCCGAGGAGGCCCCCCTCGCCGTCGTGGAGTCCGCCCCCGCGCCCCGACCCCGGCGGCGCGCCCGCCCTGGAAAGCACCCCACCGTCGCGGTCGCTTCTAAAGCGCGGAGGCCTCGGTTTCCCTCCCCCGATCCTCGATGCCCGCGTCGGTGGTGTCCAGGACGGGCCAGCCGTGCTTCCTCCGGGGATTCCGACTCCGCCGAAGCCATCGGCCCGCTCCCCGACCGATCACGGCCCCCCCCCAAACCTTCCCTATTCTTCCGCTCCCCTCAGCGTTCCTCCTCCTCCTCCTTCTCCTCCTCCAGCTCCTCCTCCTCCTCCTACTCCGTTCTCATCCCCCTCCCTCTCTTCTTCCTCGCCCCCCATCGTTCCTCACGTATCTCTCTTCCCCTTCTTCATCCCTTCTCCTTCTAAACAACTCCCTCCTGTCGCACCCTCAGACTTGTCGGTATGACGGGCCAGGCGTTTCGCCTGAGACCTCCTGACCAGTGATGATCCTGAAACTTGAAATTGGCAGTGTTTCACGGATTGAGGGAGGGCTCTCGCCGAAGCGCCGCGCACCTTCTCATTAAAATTTGAAACAGTTTCAACGATGGAAGGCGGGTGGTTTTGAAACATGTGGTTCATACCTTAGCGCCGCGCACATCTGCTTTCAAATATTACAACACTCCTATGGATGGACTACTGGTGGTTTCAAAATGTGGCTCTCGCCTTAGCGCCGCACGCATTCGTTCTGAATGTTCGCAACAGTTTCAGGGTTCGCATGGTCGGAATCCCAGTGTCCTGGCAAAGTTCAAGATTGTCAGGACGCAGCGGGCACGTTGATTCGCTGTGTTGAAGTCCCAGGAATGAATTATTGCATGATTCAGGGACGTCAGGACGCAACAGTTACAATGATTCGCGACGGCATAATCCTTGAATTGCGGTTCTGGCAAGAATAAGGATTCTGGGACGATTGTCATCCAAGTGGAGGTTCCCCGCAATGGAAACAAATTCCTGTAGGGCGTTGTGCAAAGGAAAATCGGCGGGAGAGTTCATAGCAGCATCGTTGATGCGTATTGGGTTTGCACTGGTCCTCCTCGTCCTCCTCCTCCTCCTCGTCCCCTCGCTCCGCCGCGTTCCTGTCTCACCTCTCATCGTCATCCTCCTCGCCCTCCTCTTCTCCTTGTCCTCATCTGCCTCGTCCTCGTCCTCGTCATACTCCTCCTCCTCCTCCTCCGCCTCCCCCTCATCATTTTCGTCATCATCAGCAGCATCATCAGCATCATCATCAGCAGCAGCATCATCGGCGGCGGAGAAAGTCGCCGCCGTCTCCTCCTCCTCTTCCTCCTCCTCCACCTCCACCTCGTCCTCCTCCTCCTCCTCCTCCTCCTCCTCCTCCTCCTCCTCCTCCTCCTCCTCCTCCTCCCCTCCCCCCCCCCCTCCCCCTCCCCCTCCCACCTCCCCCTCCCCCTCCCTCCTCCTCCTCCTCCTCCTCCTCCTCCTCCTCCTCCTCCTCCTCCTCCTCCTCCTCCTCCTCCTCCTCCTCCTCCTCCTCCCTCTCCTCCTCCTCCTCCTCCTCCTCCTCCTCCTCCCCCTCCCCTCCCCCTCCCCCTCCTCCTCCTCCTCCTCTCTCCTCCTCCTCCTCCTCCTCCTCCTCCTCTCCTCCTCCTCCTCCTCCTCCTCCTCCTCCTCCTCTTGTTTATCTCTTGTCCTCCTCCCTCCTCCTCCTCCTCCTCCTCCTCCTCCTCCTCCTCCTCCTCCTCCTCCTCCTCCCCCTCATCATCATCGTCATCATCAGCAGCAGCATCATCAGCATCAGCATCAGCATCATCATCATCAACAGCACCACCAGCAGCACAATCATCATAATCATGAGCATGCGCATGATCAGTACCAGCATCAGCATCAGCATCACCATCAGCATCAGCATCAGCATGGTCAGCATCATCATAATCATCATGATCAGCACCAACAGCATCATCATCATAACCACCACCACCACCAGCATCATCATCATCCTCCTCATCATCACCAGCATCGTCATCATAATCGTCATGCGCAGCAGCATCATGATCCTCATCAGCAGCATCATCGTCAACAGCATCATCGACATCGCCATCATGATCGTCATCATCATCATCATCGTCATCAGCACCAACATCGTCATCGGCATAACCATCATCAGCATCATCGACATCATCACCACCATCAGCATCACCATCACCATCAGCACCATCATCATCAACAGCATCATCATCATCATCATCATCATCAGCATCATCATCATCAGCATCATCATTATCATCATCACCGTCATCGCCATCATCGTCCGTCTCCCCCTCCTCCGCATCATCCTCCGCCCACACCCCCCAGTCTGCCCGCAGGGCTCCTGTAGAGGTCGTGGCACCACTGCAACTCCTCGCCAGGCGGAGGGCTGGCAGCGCCGCCATATCCCTCCGCTCGGAGTCCCGCGAGAGCCGAGCCTCCCCGCCCCCCGCCCCCCCGTGTCGCTGTGGTTCCATGCTGCCGCCCCTCCTCCTCCTCCTCCGCCTCCTCCTTCTCCTCCTCCTCCTCCTCATCCTCCTCATCTTCTTCCTTCTCCTCCTCCGATATTTCTCCTCCCTCCACCTCCTTCACTCCTTCCTCCCGCATCCTCTTTCTTCTCCCCCTCCTTCTCCTCCTCCTCCTCCTCCTGCTCCTCCTCCTACCTCCTCCTCCTCCTCCTCCTCATCATCCTCATCCTCCTCCTCCTCCTCCTCATCCTCCTCCTCCTCCTCCTCCTCCTCCTCCTCCTCCTCTCCTCCTCCTCCTCCTCCTACCTCTCCTCCTCCTCCTCTTCCTCTTCCTCCCCCTCCTCCTCCTCTTCCTCCTCTTCCTCCTCCTCCTCCTCCTCGTCACTCCACCCTCCTTCCTTCCTCCCTCATCCTCCTCTTCCTATTCCTATTCCATCTCCTCCTCCTCCTCCACCTCCTATTCGTCATCCTCCTCCTTCTGCTCCTCCTCCTGCACCTCCAACTCCTCCTCCTCCTCATCCTCCTCCTCCTCCTCCTCTTCCTCCTCCTCCTGCTCCTCGTCCTCCTCCTCCGTCTCCTCCTCCTCCGCCTCCTCCTCCTCCACCTCCCTCGTCTTTCTTTCGCGAGTTATGGGGGGTACACTGGCCAGCAGCGTCGGTCGGGGCCGCGCGAACGGCCGCAGCAAGCGGGAAGTAAGAGGAGCGAGCAGGCACGAGCCCAGTCAAGGCATCACCACGACCGTCTCCTCGTCCTGCATCCCCCCCTCATCTGTGATTCCTCCATGTTGCATCACCAAGCCTGTCGTTGGGGCGGGCGCCCAGCGCATCGCCCGAGAGCCCCTGGCCGGTTACGATATGGGAGCTTGGTATACTCAGCAGCAACGCGGGGCGGGCCGTGTGCAACATGCCCTGGCACCACGCACATCAGTCGTACACAGATCCAGCAGTCACACGGATTGAAAGCAAATTGCTTTCGGACTGGGGGTATCACGCCGGTGCCGCGCATAGTCGTCTTAGAGGGTCAAGCACTTACACAGGTAGAGGGCAGAGGGTAGAGTGTAGAGTTCGGGATATCGCTTGAGACTCCTGGCGAAAACATTTTACTCGAAGTATAGAA